TATAATATAATTTATTAATTATTGTTACTCTATAAGACCTTGCATGTTTTATTTTAGTCGTGTAATATACAGATATTCTGCACAAAATAATTTAATTGCAAGATATCATCGTAAAATTTTCAAACGTTATTTATTCAATGAAAGAAAGTAAAATCAGGGCAATAAATTCTTTAAGTAACTGTATAGTTAATTATATGCACCAGAAATTTAATTTTAATGTCAGATAAAAATGTATTATAGACTTTTATTTCCATCAGGACATTTGGGTGTTACATCGAATACAGGTTTTTAAGAATAATGAATATTTATTTTAGCACCTATTTTTAAGATTACATGGGGAAATGTTTTACATGTTAAACAGTTTGAGAGACAGTGACGCGTGGCTTGCAAGTCATGGGTTCCAAATTTCCACTACGTATGATGCAATTTGTTATAAAACCAATAATACCTAAGTATTAATTACAATGAATTAAGGGCTGCTATTTACACTTCTAAATGCTTGAATTGGAAAACAATTAGAAGGTTGATTCAAAACTGTAAGAAAAGTTGTACTTTTACTTGAAGAGATAWAATAATATACAGATGACATATTAGTTATAGATTTTAATAAGTATAAGGGACAAGATAAAATGTTTTTTTTTTAATAGGGACTCTGTATCACCGTTATCCACCCCTCCCCTCCGTTCCAATACTACTCGTTTCAGAAATCATTTTAATATGGTTAGGTTTTAAGTATTMTATTATAGCACTGTACCTTTTAAATTACATTTTAATTATGTAGATAACCGCAATTATATTTTTTCTCTGTACCTATATATAAATGTGTTATACTCACATTCCTCATTTAAACTTTCCACTCTCAGTGTTGTAAGTGTACACATACCTAGTAAATGTGTTATAAAATCGACGCAGGCGTTCTCTGTTTAAAATTTTTAAATACCTAAGCTATAACCATATTAATTACTGTCTTACTGGTATGATAAAAGTTAGACTCGTGTTACTATATTATTTCTACATTAAATCATAATCTAATTGCGATTAAACTATAATACATTTTGACGTCTTACCATAGTACCCATTTATGTTATTTTTTTTTTATCTTGATGTATTCACCAAAACCTTAAGGTTGTATAATCCCTCAAATCGGGATGAATTAGAATACATATATTAACYATATCATGGTATTTCAACGAACCAGCAAAACGCTTGTATTTATAGTGTTACGGACTTAGGGTATATGAGTAATAGATTATATGAATGCGTGGCTTAAGTATTACGTCAATTTCGCGATTTTCTCGACTTTCACTCGCACGCCCATCATAATATAGTTTACCTATACACGAGTACACAACCCACCCTCATCATAGGCGAATCTAGGAATTCATAGCAGRGTGTGCCTTCACCTCAAAAAGACCCTCTGWAGTTCAAAATACCTCTCAGTTATCACACGTTTAGAATATGTTTCCCATTTGAAATAACATTAGGTATCTAATAATATTAAATAATATTATTAAGATTAATTTTTATTACCTAGTTTATATGCTATTTTTCATGTTGTAAAATACACATGTAATGTTTCAATTTAATAAACCATCACTATTGCAAAGTTCAATATATGTTACTCAATTATTATTTTTGGACATACAACTAACAATCAAATTGTTAATCAATTATGTTTAAAATTCTTGGAAGTTTAATATAACATCTTATTTTTATTATTATTAATAACAAAGAATTGTATGAAATATATAATATA